CAACCTCCGTCTTTCTAATGTAAATAATCCTAATCTACTCAACCTCTCTTCATAGCTAGCGCCCTCCATACCAGGCAACATCCTGGTGAACCTCCTCTGAACCCTCTCCAAAGCATCCACATCCTTTTGGTAATGTGGCGACCAGAACTGTACGCAGTATTCCAAATGTGGTCGAACTAAAGTCCTATACAACTGTAACATGACCTGCCAACTCTTGTACTCAATACCCCGTCCGATGAATGAAAGCATGCCGTATGCCTTCTTGACCTGCGTTGCCACCTTCAGGGTACAATGGACCTGAACACCCAGATCTCTGTGCATCAATTTTCCCCAGGGCTTTTCCATTTACCGTAGAGTTCGCTCTTGAATTGGATCTTCCAAAATGCATCACCTCCCATTTGCCTGGATTGAACTCCATCTGCTATTTCTCTGCCCAACTCTCCAATCTATCTATATTCTGCTGCATTCTCTGACAGTCCCCTTCACTATCTGCTACTCCACCAATCTTCGTGTCCCCTGCAAATTTGCTAATCAGACCACCTATACCTTCCTCCAGATCATTATATAAAAAATCAATGAAAGAGCTGGAGGTGGAGTCGTATTGTTGGTGGATCTCTTTCACATCTCAGTTAGAAGGTCATGGGTTCAAATCCTGCTTTAGACGCCTTAATGCATAAACCAAGATGACGCTCCCAGCAGAGTACTTGGGGCGTGCTACATTGTCAGAGAGCCAAAATTCCATTGAGATGTTAAACCAAGGCCTGACTCGTCTGTCATGTGGTTGTAAAGATCTCTTGCTGCTGATTTGTGTGATGGACTCCTTTACGTACACCCGTATTTCATACAGAGTAAGCCAGCAATCTATAACCAGTAACATTTACAGAACAGAGTTTCAAATGTTGCTAGATGGCACTATTCAGTTCTGTTCAGCAAAATGGGAGAGGTTTTGTTGAGATTTTCAAAAGCTCACTGAACAGTTCAAATGTTATAGACAGAGTTTGAGAAGGAGACAGAGCAGACTCTGTGTTAAGAGTGCTTTTAGCTGTGCTATGGGAAGGCAGCTGAAATGCACGAATTTTACGTGGGAGCCTCCGTGTGAAATGAAGAGCAGTTGGATTGCTGTCCGAGGGAGAATTCAGGAAGAGGTTCTAGGAGTTGGTTAGCAGCTAAGTGTTGGTGTCTTAACTAGAAGTCCTGGGGAGCTGAGAAAGTAGGAAGATCACTGGCTTGTTGGGCGAAGCCATGAGAGGCTTGGTAGAAGCCTATAAGTGCTAATGTTTCAGTGAGGCTGAAAGAATGGGGGTTGTAAAGCTCTCGAACAGTTGTTGTTGAATGTAACCAACTACATTTAGAACTTGGGACTGGGGGTGACCTTGCGAGAAGAATGGTTTGGTGAAGCTGATTGTTGCTGAAGAGCTGGAATAAAAACAGAGAATGCTGCAGAAACATAGCAGGACTGGCAGCATCGGTGTGGAGAGAGAAACACCGTTAATGTTTCAAGTTTGATATGACTCTTCTTTAGAACTGAAAGGGGCTAGAAAATTGTTGTTTTTAATGCTGTTTACAGAGGGAGAAAAAGAGTAGCGAGTTGAGAGACGTTGAGGGTGCCTGGAGTAAAAGCAGCGATGGAGTTAAAATGACAAATGTAAATGGTAAGGCTGAAGAGGAGAGAAAGGAGTCACGCTGCTAAGAGCAACACCAAGATATGGCTGGGTTAGGGAAGGAATCTAAAATGGTGGACAGAGCTCAAGCTCTGATGTTGATTTCAGTGTTGCGTCCTAGAGGCTATACAGAGCTGAAGTGGAGAATGGAATGTTGTTCCTTAAGCTTGTATTGAGCTTCATTGGTTCCATTTTCCACGTAGGCACTTTACAGTTTCTAGGACCCAACGTGGAGTTCAACAACATCAGAGCATGACCTCTGTCATCCATTTTGATTTCAAACAACCCCCTGCTCCTGGCCCTATCTTATTGACTTTGCTCTTAGCAAAGCGCACCCATTTTCTTGTTTCCACATCTATCATTTACAGCTATCTTGCATCTCTGTTCCTCCTTTACCACCATTAGCGCTTCCTTTGTCCTCTGCTCTGGGCAACCTCACCGTCTGTTCTATTTGCTACCCCCAATCTAGCAACACCATTAAAACCACCATTTTCCAACTCCTTTCTGTTACAAAGTCTTCCCAGGCTCAAAACATTAGCTCTGCCTTCTCTCTCAGTTGCTGCCAGACCTGCTGAGTTTCTCTAGTAGTTTCTGTTTTTAATTTAAATTTCCAGCATTTATTTAGGTGAAGAGCTGGTGTTGCACTTATGAATGAGTAACTGGAGTGAAGTTTGAATCCAGGGAAGTGTAGCCCTAAGACAGGACCAGAACAAGAGCAGTCATTGAGGCATTTCATGATAGAGTGGCAGAGAGAGTTTCAAGGTCAGATTGACAAAAGTGAAGAATTATAATCCCTTGTGAAATTTAAAGAGATTTAGTAGAAACTGCAGATGCTGGAGAATCCGAGACAACAAGGTGCAGAGCTGGATGAACACAGAAGGCCAAGCAGCATCATAGGAGCAGAAAGGCTGACATTTCAGGCCTAGACCCTTCATCAGAAAAATGAAGAAGGGTCTAGGCTCGAAACATCAGCCTCTTTAAAGAGATTTGTTGACTTTGCTGTGTTATTAACATCTGTGAGGTGTTGCTGAGAAATCAGTGGGATTTTTCTTGATCACATTTGCTTTTTGATGTGGGCTGTTTGATTGCAGTCTATGACTGAATTTACCATATTATTAATTCTGGGTGTTAAAAATAAGTTGTATATGTATTCTCGATATTGTTACTGTTCTAACATTGTCTAGTAAAGTCTGTTCCTTTTAAGAGCATGAAATCTTGTGACTTTACTTTCTCAGCCAGTCACTTAGATCTCTCACTCTTTCTACTTTAAAGGCTACTGGTCCCTGGCCAGCTCAGCCTGGTCCCTCACAATAACATTGAAGCGAGCCTGAACCAACATCACCAAAAACAATTATCTAGTTATTATCATTTCACTGTCTGGGAGCTTGCTATGCTCAAAATTATCTGCCATGCTGTACATTAAAGTAGTTTCACCGCTTCAAAACATACATCACCTGATGTGAGGAGTCTATCCATTCATATCTGGCTGTGTATGTGTACTCATACATATATTAACTGGTCAATTTGATGTTGCTAATGACTTTGTCTCCTTTGCTTCAGGCTGAAGAAATTGAGTATTCCTGTGAAAAGTGCAATGGCAAAAGTGCAATTGTGACCCACAAGTTCAGCAGGCTGCCCAGGTCAGTAACTGAGTGTGGGACAGCGTTCCAAACTCTCTTTGGGCCCTATGTCCCCAGAGATAGGTACAGAAATGAAAGATGAATGCTCCCATCTCCACAGGCAAACCAAATAAATTTGGGAGCAATCTCTACTCTGTTCTGAATGGGGTAGATCTACAAGGGGAAAGCCTGAGGTACAGCAGTTAAGCAGTAGCTAAAGTGAATATTGGTCCATTGGAAGATGAGGCTGGGGAATTCATAGTGGGGAACACAGAAATGGCAGAATCACTAAATCAATATTTTATTTTATAATCCATGTTTTCACAGTGGAAGACACTAGTACCATTCCATTAGTGATGCGATGCAGAAGTTATAGAGAAGAAAGGACTTAGAACGATCATTATCATTAGGGGAAAAAGTACTGAGCATTGGATTGGATTGGAGAGAAAGCTTCCAGTTGATTGGAAAATGCTAATGTTCAAAAGGGCAGGGAGGCGGAAAGTAGGAAGCTGTAGGCCAATTAGTTTAACATCTGTCTTATTGTTAGTCTATTATTAATGAGCTAATTACAGGACACTTGGAAAGTCAAAACGCAGCACAGTGGTTCAGTGGTTAGCACTGCTGCCTCACAGCTCAGGCACCTGGGTTCAATTCCACTCTCCGGCGACTCTGTGTGGAGTTTGCACGTTTTCCCCGTGTCTGCGTGGGTTTCCTCCGGGTGCTCCGATTTCCTCCCACAGTACAAAGATGTGCAGGTTAGGTGGATTGGCCGTGCTAAATTCCCCGTAGTGTTCAGGATGTGTAGATTAGGTGGGTTATAAGGGGATGGGTCTGGGTGGGATGGTCTGAGGTTCGGTGTGGACTTGAGGGGCCGAAGGGCCTGTTTGCACACTGTAAGGATTCTATGATCCATGATAACAATAGATTTGGTGAATGAGTCAAAATTTAACAGATGGAGCATTTTTTAATGCGTTAGCAGGATGTGAGTATTGCTGGCTAGTCCAGCATTTTATTACCCATCTGTAACTGCTCAGTGTACAGTTAAGAGTCAAAATGTATCACTCACTTGTCTGGATTAAACTCCAGCTGCCATTTTTCTGCCCAGCTTTCCAACTAATCTATATCTTGCTGTATCCTTTGACAGCCTTCCTTAATATCCACAACTCAAATTTTTGTATTGTCTGCAAACTTACTAATTAGCCCACCTACATTTTCAACCAATTCATCTATATGTATTACAAACAAACTCTCAGTTTAAGAGTAGAGGGAGTTTTGCATCCACTCCTGGGAGTGTTTGGAAACAGTACAGAGGGAGCTTTACTTTCAGTTTAAAAGCGTAGAGAGAGCTTTATTCTGTGACTAATCCTATGCTTTAACTGCCCTGAGAGTGAGTTTGACGTCAGGTTGTCTAAACTTCTGCTCTCGTGTACTACTGAAACTGCTTTGCTGTAATTTCTGCCTGACTTCTTCCTACAGGGTACTGATACTCCATTTGAAACGGTACAGTTTTAACGTGCAGCTGTCTGTGAATAACAAGCTTGGTCAGCAGGTGATCATTCCAAAGTACCTGACCCTGGCGGCTCACTGCACAGAGACCACAAGGCAGCCCTTTTCCCTAGGTTGGAACACACAATCTGCAATGTAAGTGAGGGCAGAATGAGGAGGGCTGTTACAATGAAGAGAGGGATGCATGGCTGCATGGATGTGACTTGAATAGCCATGCTGATGTAGTGTGGATATGTCTTGTACATCCTGCAGTGCTGTTCTGGAATAGATTGGGAGGCCCCAATGCACCCAGCTAATAATCTGTACACACAAAAAGTTAAATTTATTTCTTTCAGCTGTGACTCAGTGGGTATCATTTTTGATTCTGTCACCAGAAGGGTTTTGATTTAAGTCTTTCTTTGAAGAGATGCGCACACGACTATATGGAAAAGCAACACTGATGATGTTGTAGTCTTTAAGTTCTTGTATTTTTAGATGAGCCGTTCTCTCCAGGCCTTGACTGTACTGCGATGGACCTGAGGGATCCTGTGGATGCTATGGAAGAAGAACAGAGGTGTTCTTTCTTTGTCCAGCCCCTGCCCATCATTTATTCCTTACCCAGAGTTACTAAGGTTAAGTAGTCACAGGTATGACGAATTAATCTTAGTAGCTCTGGCTGAGGGATAAATGCTAGGGAGGACACTAGAGAGAACACCCCTGCTCTTCTTTCATGACGTGGGAGTTTACTGTCCGCAGATTAGCTGCTTTATCCCCTATATCACAACAGTGATTATACCTCAAAGTGCTTTAGGCCATCTGAGGAAGTGAAAGGCGCTATAGAAGTGCAAGATGTTCTTCCTTAAAAGCAGCTATGAATTACCTCATGTTGCAATGTGTCACCACTGTTTATCTCAGCACAAAGTAATGCATTCTTCCTGATCACTTTGCTCTTCATTCTGCTTCTGTTTAACTGCCTGTGCACAGTTGGTATAGGTTAGTTTGTCGCCTGATTTCAGGGGTTGGGTTCAGATTTGGGATTAGCAAGTCTCTAACAGTGTTTCCACAGACAGTAGGCAGGATCAGTTTCAACCGTAATTTTGCGCCAGTTAAATAGCCGCAATACAAGTTGCCTTTAATAGTGCAGCATTACCCAAGGTGTGTCACAATAGCGTTATCAGACAAAGTAAGGAGTTCTTTACATTTCATGTTCAAGGTTTTAGTATTACTTTCCAATTATTTGGGAAGGAAGTAGTAGTTTGCTGCCTGGGCTAATGTGCAGTCTCTGATATAGCAACATACCTCATTGAATGTTTTTAAGGCAGAGAGAGATTTTTGAACAGTAAAGGGTTATGATAAGTGGGTGAATAAGTGGAGCTGAACCCACAAAAAGATCAGCCTTGATCCGATTGAATGGTGGAGCAGGCTTGATGGGCCAGATGGCCTACTCGTCCTCCTATTTCTTATGATCTTGTGTAACATCATCTTCTCTGTTTTGAATTTTGCAGATCACGACCACTCAAAACTTCGCAGTCAGTGAACTCTACAACTTCCACATCCACACTGGGAAGGTGAGTAATCACAGTCTGGTCTCAGTGTAGTGTAACCTGCAGTTTAGAGTCCAGGAAAGTGAGAAACCCTGTAGGAACAAGTGGAACAAATGGGATGTGAAGTGTAGGAACCAGAGGAATGTGAGGCATGGGTGAAAAAGACGGTGATATAACAAAGGACAGAGACCTCCGGTTTGGGGCAGACGATGAATGGAACAGTTGAGTTCTGAGAGAGTTAGCACAGGATTTGAGAGGATGTGGGTGTGGGCACAAAACCAAAATAACAGTAGCATTACTTGGATGTTCTGGGGGCAGTGAGTTTTGGCAGAGATTGAAACTTTACCTTGGTGTTTGTAAATTGTGCTTGAAGCTTCTCCAGGTCAGAGAGGAAATTTTATTTAGGGTTTGTGTTCTCACCCCTGCAGCAAGCTTGATTTTGACTCCCTCTCCATGCTGATAAACTGCTTACAGGCACTGCAAGATTATCTGGCTGGGGAATATTAGTGGGCGTAGCAATGTTCCAGTCAGTTTGATCTTGCAGGACAGTAGGAGAGGGAATCCACTGTAAGCAATGGGTATTTCAGTGTTAACAGACGTGGAGCTGGAAAAGTACGGCAGGTCAGACAGCATCCAAAGAGCAGGGAAGTCAACGTTTCAGGCTGAAACCCTTCATCAGGATGTTGGCGAACAAGCACAAGATGGGTTCCTGCCTCATGTTGTGGCTGAGTGCTTCTGACTGCCTCATTCCAAGTGTTCATCCACAGGAAGTACTGTTTCAAGTCTGCAATCGTGATCCTGGACTCTGACAGCGAGGAGGAACAGCTGAAGCGGGCAATGGTGATCAGCAGGCAATTGAATGAGCAGGTCCAGCGTGAGACACAGCAGGAACAGGAGGAAATGCAGCTGGTAAGTCTGGCTGAGAGCTGAGGATATCACGTAACTTACCTCTCTGTCCCTGAGCAAAAAAGAACTCTCATTCATAATGGCACCATTCAAGTCATCCCAAAGTGCTGTATAGATGAAGAAATATTTTCGAATTGTTGTAACTGTTGTAATCTGTAAAACGTTAGTTGCCTCAAAATGAATAGTTTGGAAGGCACGTTATTCCAACAAAGAACAGTCCTGCTCTTACAATGGATTGTAATTGCTATTAAAGATTCAGTTCAATGTTGCATCCTAAAGTTGGCACTGTCGACAGAACAGCCTCCTCTAGCTCCTTCCCCACAGCATTGGGAGTCTTCACTGCAGCCATGAAATGGGGCTTAAGACTTGTGACTGCGGTGTGAGTTACCAATAGCTGAGCAGTGCCAATAGTTCTTCTGTCAGTGTAGTATTCACATCAGATCTCACCAAGTGTCTACTGCTGAAATGTCAATGTGTTCTTTCTGTCTCCTGATGATGTTTGTTCCCAGCATTTTCTGTTTTGGGAAATTACTGAACAAGCAAGGAAGCAGTTTTTCCTAACTATTTTTGTACTTTCAAATTGGAAAATTTAAACTGGTTTTAATTTATATGATAACCCTTACAACACCTATGGAGAATCACAAATTCATCTCTCTGTGGAATTCATTGAATGCGAGTTCCTTTTTTTAAATTCATTCACAAGATATGGGTGTCCCTGGCTAGGCCAGCATTTATTGCCCATCCCTAATTGTCCAGAGGGTAGTTAAGAGTCACCTACGTCACTGTATGCCTGGAGCCGCACGTAGGCCAGACCAGGTTAGTATGGCAGTTTCCTTCCCTAAAGGATATTTTTGAATCTTGTCCTTCCAGGTGGTATAGGTCACAAGTTTAGAAGGTGCTGACTAAGGAATGTTGGTGATTTTCTGGAGCGCGTCTTTTAGTTGATACACTCTTTAACCATTATTCATTAAATGCTGAAGGTAATGGATGGGTGCCCGTCAAACAGACTGCTTTGTCCTGGAAGCTTCTTGAATATTGTTGAAGGTGCTGTCTTCCAGACAAATGGGAAGTGTTCCTTGAAACTCCTGAATTGTGCTTTGGGGAATCAAGAAGTGAGTTAGTTGTTGCAGCGTTCCCAGCCTCTGACCTGGTCTTGTAGTCACAGTATTTATATGGCTGATTCAGTTCAGTTCCTGGTCAGTGGTCACCTCCAGGATGGTGATAGGGGAGGTCAGTAAATGTAATGCTGCCATAGTTTTCAAAATCTTACAATTTGCTCCCTAATAGCACTGGTGTACCTATATAACGTCGGCAGTGGCAGTCTGAGGAAAGAAGCATACCACCTCAGTCTCCAGGATAACTAGAGATAGGTGATCGTTTCTGGCCTTGTTCGCAATGTCCACAACCTGTGAAACAATTTTTTTTTTAAAAATTTGCTGTTGTGGTTTGACATCCTGTACTGATACTCCAGTGAAGCATTGTGGAATAGTCTTTATATTAGAGGTGCTGTAGAAATACAAGTTCTATATTTGAGCTGAATACTGGACCGGGATGCTATTGTGTCCTGCACCACATTGATTGCTTCCTCTTTTCCTCCCTCCCTCTTTCTCTCTCTCTCTCTCTCTCTCTCTCTCTCTGTGTCTTGTTCGCTGTCTCTCTCCCCCGACCCCTCCAAGGCACTGAAAGCGAGCAAGCGGGAGTGGAATCGCCCTGCCCCAGCCACTGCATTGGACTCCTCGTTTGACAGCATGAATGAAGACGAGCTCCTGGCAGCTGTGTTGGAGATCAGCAAGCGGGAAACCCACTTCTCGCTGGGCAGGGAGGAGGAGCAGGAGAAACCGAGCAGCAGTCCTGATACTGGCTTCGGTGACGACGAGGCTCAGGAATTGCTGGAACAACATGAGTCACCAGAACCAGATCTGCACAGGGCCCCTGTGGAAATGGGTAAGTAGGGCAGGGCACAAGGTGGGGTGGGATGGTGCTGCTTGGCCACATGGACAGGTGAGATGGTGAATGATTTTTGACTTTGACCCCTATAACACAGTCAGAGATCTACAGCACAGACCATTGTGTCCACACCAGTCAGAAAAAGCCACCCAGCTATTCTAATCTCATCTTTCAGCGCTTGGCCCTTAGCCTTGTATGCCATAGCATCACAATAATAACCTCTTAACAGACATTTATCAACCTCCATTTAAAATGAATAATTGATTCAGCATCAGTTACCATTTGGGGTAATGTTTCTAGTATTATATTTACTAATCATTCTCTTGAAAGATGAGGATTTGAGGTTTTATGCCCGAGCCCTTGGCTCCCCACCCAGCAAAAATAGTTTTGCTTTTAATTCAGTTGAGCCCTTTAACATCTTAAACTTGTGTATTTAAATAGAGCCTGCCAAAGTCATGAAAGACTTTGATGAGAACAAGGAGAATAAAACTCCAGAAGGCTCCCAGTGTGAGATGGACTGGATGCAGCAATATGACCTAGACAGGGAGCGAGAAGAACAAGAGCTGCAGCAAGCACTGGCCCAAAGTCTCCAGGAACAGGTCAGCACTTGGAAGATCTGGCTTTGTGGGTGCTGGAAGGGTGGGTAGCGTGTGCTTTTGATCAGAGATGGGTTTGGATTTTTTTTTGCCAGAAAGCCAATCTTATGAGGCTTCCATTGCAATTTTTAAGCTTCCACTTAACAGGCAGCTATGTTCTTTGTCTATTCTCAAGAGAACAGCACCAGCACCTGGGAATATCATATACTCACGTTCTGGAATGGACCCTAAGCCTATGACCTTTAAACCCAGTGTGCCTTGTTCTTCGTTTGCCTACCTTGTGTCACTTGATAACAGTGTATGTGGAAACCATTGTGAATGATATTTATCATTAACCCAGAGCCACTTTTAAATAAATTCGCTGTGTCATTTGCCAGGAAGCACGAGAGATGAAAGAAGATGATGACTTGAAGAGAGCAACAGAGCTGAGTATCCAGGGTAAGGCACCACTGTCATTCAGTAATTGTTGCATTGTTACTATTTTCGATTGTGTTTGCTGCTGTGTAGGTGTGTTGGCCAATTTTCTCTCAGGTTTGCAAGCAGTCAACAATGAAACAGTGGGAGAAATGCTATCTTTAGATAAATTCATGGGATCCTTTCTGTTGACATCTAGACCCTTGGTTAAGGTCTCACCCAAAAAACAACTTTCAAAAATGCAGTGCTCCCTCTGCCTTTCACAGAATTGTTAGTGGGGTCTGTGCTATGGTGGGGCATCAATTGGCATCACTTCTGGTATGGGTGAGAGTGTCACAAACTGAATTGAACTGTAATATATCAGGGCTCTTGTGCAGCAGTAGTATCCCTATCTTTGAGCCAGGAGGCCTGGGTCTAGGTGCCAACTGCTCCAGAGGTGTGTAATAACATCCCTGACCAGATAAGAATCATTAGAATCCCTACAGTGTGGAAAGAGGCTATTTGGCCCTTCGAGTCTGCACAGACCCTCCAAAGAGCATCCCACTCAGACCAAGCCCCCACACCCTATCCCTCTTGACCCTGCATTTACCATGGCTAACCCACCCAGTCTGCACATTCCTGGATACTACAGGTCAATTTAGCATGGCCAGTCCACCTAATCTGCACATCTTTGGACTGATTAGAAATTAGGTTAGGTTAATTAGAAATTATTGTGAGAAAGTCTGAGCAGGGGACCAAGTTGAATGATCAGCCATGATCATATTGAATAGCAGAGCAGGCTTGAATGGTCAAATGGTCTACTTTTCCTGTATTCCATACTACTATGTTCCTATACAAAGAACAAAGAAAATGACAGCACAGGAACAGGCCCTTCGGCCCTCCAAGCCTGTGCCGATCCAGATCCTATATCTCAACCTGTCACCTATTTTCCAAGGATCTGTATCCCTCTGCTCCCTGCCCATTCATGTATCTGTCTAGATACATCTTAAATGACACTATCGTGCCCGCCTCTACCACCTCCACTGGCAACGCATTCCAGGCACCCACCACCCTCTGCGTAAAGAACTTTCCACGCATAACTCCCTTAAACTTTTCCCCTCTCACCTTGAAATCATGACCCCTAGTAATTGAGTCTCCCACTCTGGGAAAAAGCTTCTTGCTATCCACCCTGTCTTATACCTCTCATGATTTTGTAGACCTCAATCAGGTCCCACCTCAACCTCCGTCTTTCTAATGTAAATAATCCTAATCTACTCAACCTCTCTTCATAGCTAGCGCCCTCCATACCAGGCAACATCCTGGTGAACCTCCTCTGAACCCTCTCCAAAGCATCCACATCCTTTTGGTAATGTGGCGACCAGAACTGTACGCAGTATTCCAAATGTGGTCGAACTAAAGTCCTATACAACTGTAACATGACCTGCCAACTCTTGTACTCAATACCCCGTCCGATGAATGAAAGCATGCCGTATGCCTTCTTGACCTGCGTTGCCACCTTCAGGGTAC